CACGTGACCTCGCTGAGGCAACAATATTAAGTAAGTCAAACTTTGATGATTTGTACTGTTTCTTCATTTTTGTTAATCTGTAAATTTCCTTAACTATTTATATCATGAAATTGGAGAAAAATAACTACATATATTTTTCTAGCAGTGGAATAAAAGTAATATTTACAGTATTAAATATCCTTATGAACCAAATATACAATCTTTAATAGTTTATCTTTAAACATAGATAAATAAAACATTATTTATTATAAAAACAATCACTTTAATTGCATGTGTTTCCCCTAAAAATTACTCTTGATTTGTTTACTGGGGATTCACAAATTAGGGGTATGTAAAATAGCGTTTCAGATCTACCCTTTGATATTTTTTTACAAGTCAGTACCCAAGAGTTTGCTTGTTTTACAATAAAGCCACTTTGGGCTATCTGCTGTGTCTACTATGGGGAATTGAACCCCGGATTTTAGCGTTGTAAATCCGTAAACCTACCGCTGTCTCTTGGACAATGTACCTGTCCAAGAGACCTTTCATTCTGTACTATAGCACCCGTGTTAGGCTTGACGGTGAAACACAAAAGATTTCTGAAACGCCATTTATATATCTAGTATAATGTTCTAAAATTTGCGATTTAAACGTCGAAACATTAGAAACCAATTAAAATATTAATTTCTAATGCTTTGCCGATTTTTGGCATTGAAATTTTTAATAAGTTAACGTGAATATTTTTCAAAAATCTTAGGCCTTTTTATTTCTTAGTCGCAGGAGTTCAGTGTTCAAACCGTAATGAATAAAATTATAACTATTTTATTTATCATACAGTTCTGGATGAAAGAAAAACCCGATGTCAGGAAATTGTGTACACAATGCAAAGCTCCTATTGAAAAGAATGGAGGTTGTAATCACATGACTTGCTGGAAATGTCGATCCCACCTCTGTTGGCGCTGTATGAGGATCTTCCCTACTGGAAATGATGTGTACCAACACCAACCTCACTGCTTAGCAAACGTAGCCCTGTAGCTACAAAGAGCTAAGAAGTTTTTTTTTTTTCGAAAATAAATTGACAACATGTTATGTTTTTCTTCTTTCAGGGTAGTTAGAAGCATGAATAATTATTAGTATTAATTGTGTTTTTAATTGTACTACATCTGCCTTTTCGATCATATTCGAATACATTTTAACGTTTAATTTTGAGTTACTGTATTTTCTAAGGCGTCTGATCACCACCTCGATTATTCGTACCTATGAGATACGTTTCCCATAAGCTTGTTTCAATTAGTACGTTAATAATATTGGTATTGATGTCTGTTAAATATTTTGTACCTCCCAGTTATTCTGTTGTTTTTTATATGTTTAACCTCAGCTATAAACTTGTGACCAAGACCAAATTGTACGTTGTCCTTTACTGTAATTGTGTCAGCATAATCTTGTTTTCTGAATTTCGTAGAATTATTGTAATTGACTTTAAGGAATGCTGCCGAAAAGACTGGATTAAATTTCCTTATTAAAAAAAAATACAAGAATAGTTGTTATAGGAAATATTCATTAATATAATTAACACCAGTTTGAAATTATATAATTATAAAGTAAAAGGCTAAATAAGTGTTGGTTAGTATAAAAACTAGCATAAACGAAGCCCTAAGGGCGGCGGTTTGTGCTGGTAATTACTGATAAAACTTTTTAAAACGTAAACGTTTTCTACAAGAGAATTTTTTTCTGGGCAGTACTGCACAGGTAAAGTGTTTGGATTGTGTTAATATAAATTCTAATGTTTTTATTTATTAAGAGTGGTAAACTTTATTAACAAAAAAATGAAATTTCTTTTAAGAACTCTATATTTTTAGTACTATCTTTACAACTTACACCAATAAAGATATAATCAAACCCTCACGTACAGCCCTAGTGAAAGTCATGTGCCCGTTGTGAGGAGAGTAGCGTTATTTAAAATTATGTTTTATGATAAAGAAATGTTTGTCGCACATACCGTAGTTATTTTTCTGTCTGAATCCTGTGCCCGGCATGGCCAGGTTGATAAGGCGCTCGACTCACAATC